GTTTCTCAGCTCGCCGGTGGTCAGTTCTAGTGCGGAGAGGCCCCATAACAATGCCACCAGAGGAAAAAACCCGCTCTTGGAAAGCCGAGGACGACACTTTGCCTAGATGTATGCGCGCAAGCAGCGCAATCGACGGAAATCGGTCTTCACCTTCATCTCGGAACCAACGCAGGACATCCACATGCCGGTAGAGACCAAGCAGAGACCAATATGACCCTTTGTCATTGGCAATGCACATTTCCTTGCGTAGTTCTTCCCTGGACTTGGAGGGATTCTGGCAGTCAGCAACATCCAGCCAATCTGGCTCGAGCTCGAGCCACTCCGTCAGCACCCTGTCAGCTCTCGCATCAACCTCCTGTTCTTTCACTTCTTCGCGCGTTTGGTTCGTTCGGATCGGCGCTCCAAATAGTAGATCCTCTTCGTCGTCCCATCCGGTCGACGCCGGCGACGAAAAGGGAGAAGTTTCCTGGCTGAACGCACTGCTATTTTCAGAGCTAAAGTCTTGGTTCAGCGGGATCTTCTTCTCCTTCGTCATGGTGCCAAATACGTTCCGATGCTCTTGCCTTAGGTAGTCGAGACCGCTGGTGTAGATGGCCTTTTCCTCCTTACGCGAAACGTTACCGACAGCAGCAATCTTTTTAGCAGCATGCTTTGTACGAGGGTCAAGTAGTACACACGCCATTGATTCCTTCGTAACCTTAGGAAAGCGGGCCTGTAGCTGCAAGAGTGTGCGTCGCAGACAGATTTTTCCTTGCTCCGAAAACTGATCAAGTGTCCTTTCAACTCGGCGATGTGTCGTTTCGTTTTCGTCTTTAGCCTTCGGAGCTTCGATTGCCATCATCTGGAACTTGAAGGACTTCAACCTCTTTTCTGCTAGACGCCTGAACACTACCATGTAGGACGAAACCAGACTTTCGCTCTGAGATTCAACGAGCGCTAGGTTCGCAATGTGAAGAGTGGCAGCTTCCATTTCAGCAGCGAGAATCCAGTCCAAAGGTGTAATAGCAGACCACACACTGGCAGAATCCTTGTTTGACTGGAAATATGCCTCGAAAGCCGCATAATTGACTATAGATCGTCTTATGAGTTTACACGTGTAGGCCACACGTACGTCACTGTCGGTAAGAGGCTGTAGTTCAGGATAAGAGAGGGCTTTCTGTATCATGCTCAAGCCGTTCAGCTGCTTCGACGACCTGAAGTGGTTGTTCAGGTTTCTCAACTTCTGGATGACCGAACCTCCATCTTCCAGCGCGCCACCAGGAGTTACAGTTGTCACCACCTTATGCCACGAGCCATTGTCACTGTCCCACATAGTAGTAGTTTGGATGTTGTCGTTTATGCCAATTCCATAGCCAATACAAAGGTTCAAAAGGTGCATTGAACAATCTTCCTGCTCCGTACCAAGGTGATCAGCCACGTTCTTAGCAGAGGGGGTTGTGTCCGACATCGTGAATCTTGCCATACTTCGAATATCAACGTCATATTTTGACTTGAAGCCATTCTCAATGAGCCTGGCGACAAGAGGTGCACTGTGTCCGTCGTTCTTTACTGTAGCCAACATTGCTATGAAGCGAAATTTCCACTTGCTGTCAATGAACGCCACCGATGCCCCCACAATGCTCTCTTTTCCAGAACTGGTCCAAATATCGTGAATGAGATTCAGAAATTTCATACAACAAGCCTTCTGAAACTCAGAAGCGAGAAGCTCACCAACGAGGTCGCAGAATAGTTGAAATTGCCCAGCCAATAATCGTCCGTGTCTATCGCGGCTCAGAATCGGAAACGTCGGATCACCGGTGGCCGCACGTATCACGTCCTTGAACGCGTCGGATGTACACACTGTGTACGGAAGCCCTTGGTTTATCATCCACTTCGAGATGAGCACGTTGATCATTTTCTCATTTGGACGAAAGAATCGCTTTGTGGGCTTGGGGGTTAGACACACCGCCTCATCCTTAAGCCCAGCAGGAGCTGTCGTTGCAGGAATAGTAGTATTGTCCTCGTTATCAAGCTCATCAGGGCGATCCGCAGTAGTAGGCTCTAGAATGCTACATGCATCTGCTTCGCCGCCCACTATGTCATCCTTCGCCTTGTCAGTGATCTTCTGCTCCGCAAGTACCGCAAGGGGATGATCGGCATGCATCAATTTGATGTGGTTTTTGGCGTTGGAGGCGTTTTTGGTGCTGCACAGAGCATCCTCCCAGCTGTATCGAGTTGTCTTGGTACGAGATTTAACATCCTCACAGCACAGTAGACACAGGTTGCGATACAGTTTCCGTGATTTCTGCCAGGGGTTGCGTTTTTGATAAGGCACGTCCAAGTGATGAATTAAATCCCATACTCCGTCAGTCAGTCCAGCTCTCCGAGCATGTCTTAGGGATAGAGGGACACCAAGGTCAGACAACGGCGAACTCTGGGCTGGGTCTGGCACAACAACAACTCCTGGAGCAACTACAGGCTTGACGTTTGTCTGCTTCTTCTTCTTTCCGTCACCTCCGCCGTAGTCCAGCTTAGTTTGCTTCCCCAATTTCAAACGCTTGGGAGCACGAGTAACAGATACACAACTCCCCTCTCCACGGATATCAGGAGAAGCCACAAAGTCAGAGTCTGACCCGGTCCAGAAATTCGACGACTTCCTCTTCGACATGGTCGGACAAGGCGTAGTTGCGCAGTTGTCGGTCCAAGAGGTCGTATCGCCCCCTTCGTGTGGGTACACTTTCTCCACACACGTCGTGCAGCAGAACCTGGCATTATATTAGCTCAATTAGTTCCAGCAACAACCCGTGAAGCGGAACAACACCGCACTACCTCTCATTTAACGCGCTGTTCTCGCCTTCAAACACCCCGATAGAGCACATGTGGTGAACCTGCTTACCGCATACTGTGCACGGGTCTGTCTTGAGCCCCTCATCTACTTGACAATTTGCAACGGCGCAGCCCATACTGGTGCTTTGCACTGGAAGAATGGCGATCCTCGACGAATGGCGATCTCCCGCACTGTTGGACGAGAGCCAATCACTTGACAATTGCTGAATAAGGGTTAGCCAGCTTGCCAAATCAAGGTTCTGAAATAGTAATAAAATAGTATTACTTCAAAGTACTATAGTAGTGCCTAGACCCAATAGTTCTATTACTCATATCGAATACCATACAACATGATAGTAATAGTAGTAGTAGTTCAATAATA